CCACTCAGCTAATTTATCTAGATCAGTTTGTAGGGCCGACCTATCCTCGTTATTATTTACAGTTTTCCATATCTTAATGTCGCCTGTAAATAACAATGAAGATGAAGTAAGAATCCCCGGTAGCTCATTAACGTATAATAGGAATAGCAAGAGGCCTAATACAGTTCCCTGAGGTACTCCACTGGATACTGCTTTCCACCCTGATAGTACACCGTTAACTCTAACCTTCTGCCTTCTATCCATTAGGTAATCCCTAAACCACTCACATAGGCATTGGTCTAGTCCGAAACCTTTAAGTTTACTAAGGAAACCTAAGTGGGATACTTTGTCGAATGCCTTGCTAAGATCAATAAAAACCACGTCCAACAGAAGGTTTTTATCTCTGGCCTCGACCCAATCTTCCATAGCTAACAGTAAGTTTATCAAGCAGGATCGTCCTGGTCGGAATCCATGCTGTTCAACTGCCAGTAAGCCATGTGTTTCAACGTAAGCTAATAGCTGATCCCTTATAATAGTTCCCATTACCTTTGCTATAATGCATGTCAGACTTACCGGCCTGTAGTTAGATACCGATTGCCTGTCCCCCTCTTTGAATATAGGGCTTATAATGGCATCCTTCCAGTCCCTGGGTAGCTTAGCCTGGGTCAGTGACATTTGGAAAATCTCCACAAGCGGAATATATATAATTTATCCGCCAAGGAAATTAACAGTTTAGGGTGAAGTCCATCAGGCCCAGGTGATTTACCTCTGGATAAAACAGAGTCACCTGATTGGTTGCTCAAGGTCATTTGTCCGTTCGCTAGGTAGTTTCGGTTTAGGCCGCTATAGTTTAGAGTTACCGGGAGATGTAGAATTCAAACAGCATCCATAGTCAAAGATAACTCAACTAGCCTTTTGATGAATTTAGCATGTTTTAACCAAATTATCTTGACTAATTAATATATTCTAAAATTCATAGAATACTGAGTTAAATAATTATTCTAGTATTCTGGATTTTTTCTGTCTCTCTCTAAAATTGGTTGGTATTTTTAATGGCCACCAGAATATTTATCAGTCGGTTTCATATTTCATAGAGTGCTTCTTTGCTTGCGTGTCTTGTAAGTATGCATAGACAGTGAAGTAGCCACGGCCACTCACTGTCATGCACACAAACACACACACACACACACCAATTCAGGCACACACACACAGTTTCATCCATATATAGAAAAAGATGTAAAGGAAGTGATCTGTTTCTCTGTTTTTTCTGTCTAAAAATCAGAAGTTCTACTTCGTATCAGATCGGCAAATTGTGTAATCGAGTGATGTGTATATCTTTCGTGTGTGTGTGTGTGTATGAGTGTGTTCGCGTTTGTGCGGATATTACCATGTGATATTGTGGTGTGTGTTATACGAGTGTGATATTTCGTGAAATATAATCGTTGTAAGTGAAAAATCCGCATTAAAAACACAACAAAACTGGACAAAGTATCATGGAAGATGAAGTGAACGTGTGTGTTTTATTACAAAATGTGTAATAGCAGAACACAAGGGTGTTTGGCAACTCGATGTACAGATTTAGGCAAAATACGTCTACTATATTTTTAAATCACTCTTGGCACATGTCTTCCGTGTTGTGTTACTTTTGGCTTCCGATCATGTTATCCATATTGTTGCACAAGCATCGTTCATTAAATCCATCTCTCCGCTATTCATTATTCTTGCTAATGATAGATTTATGTACTACTTATAAATCTTGTCAGTAGTACGCACCACACTTGCCTTTCTGTCAGATGGTTTTGAACGGTGCCACTGTGACCTTCTTGGCGTTACCCAGTCTTGTTATGCCTTGTTACAGACTTCCTTATCCCGCTGTATCCATTTCTGGAGTGAGTTAATGGTATAAACGGAACCACTTCACTTCTCTCAGTGACAGCGTATGATCCTTTCCACTTCGGAAGGAGTTCCCGTCAACCTGGCCCGCATCCAACCGTGTACTTTCTTCCTCTAACCTTTATTTGATCTCTGACTCGTTATGCATGACAAGTTATGCATTTCATCGTTTCTGTCTGTTCACATTTTGTGGCGTCCATCTTCTGTTTATGCTTTGCATTCCTGTCAGCTTCTTTCCGTTCTGTTCGTGGTCTCCTCATAATCTAGTCTTGATAGAGGGGTCAGATCTTGTTGTGTATTGATTGATAGTCGTAGTTTTCCACCAAACATCAACTGAAAGGGATAGTTTTGAATAGTGCCACTGTGACCTTTTTGGCGTTACCCAGTCTTGTTATGTCTTGTTACGGACTTCCTTACCCCGCTGGAGTTGGCTGGCGCTAACACGTTTCTGTTTGTCTCCTCTTTTGATAGTTTAAACGGGACCACTTCTCTCAGTGACAGCGTATGATCCTTCCCACTTTCTAAGGAGTTTGGATGAACTTAGTCCACATCCAGCCCAAATTTTGCAGGCCGACCATTGATATCAAGTTTGCTTTTCGATTAATGTAATCAACAAATTATATAGGTAGAACATTATAAGTGTAGTAAGAGATGTGCTGCACAAAATCTTATGGTTTGTGCAAGGGCTGGGATACTACGCGGATATGCTTAGGTCGAAACAGGTGGTTGTCTTAAGGGGTTACCCTCCCAGTGAGCCTTTAGCTAGAAGTCTGATCTTGACACAAGGTAGCAGAACAGTGTCAGGAGCAGCAGCTACGTTCCATACACACCACGTGATCCATTCGGATTCTGGTGGTGGTAATGTACACCATAGGGATTTGGAGTCAAGGTTTTCCAGCTCCCCTAGGTACAGACCTACCTGTATGTCCACCAGTTCTGTTGTAAGCACCGAACATTTGAATTAGCCCTTCCACTTTTATGAGAAAAAGCCCGGTGGCGCGTGAAGGCAGAGATTCGGACTTATCAGGCAGAGTCTGGCCACATGAGAAGAGTATCTTGAGAGGAAGGCCAAAGTCTACCCGCCCACCCACAGTTAGCCGCCACACCAGGTCACTTATAGTTGATGTTGCCTTCTTAATACATCAGTTTATTTCGTTTCCACAGTCTTTATTTCCTAATTCACATATAATAAGTCAGCCTATTGAATAATTTTATAAAAACACGTAGATTCCAGACCTTATCGCTAAGCAGAGTAATGATGAATAGGTTGGGTTAATTGATGAAAATCAGATCCATTAACTAATCATCACACTATGTGGTCTAAGAGTAGATGGAACGTGTATATAATATATACACGAAATCAGACAATAATCATGCGTGTGTGTGTGTGTGTATGTGTGTTCAGACTGAATGAAAACACCACACAGACAGAGAATTTTTAAATCACGTGGTCTGTATGTTAGTTCATTTATTCAAACAACCTCTCATTATTGGTAATAATAGTAAATCTATATTGAAAACTTTATCACCCTATTTACAACCATATTCATCCAAATATCCGAGTGACTTCCGAACTCGAATCGATATTACAATGACCAGGAGAGACGATGGAACGATTCAGCGATCTATATATTTCGTAAACAGACATGGAGTGGACAATATCTTCATTTTACCAGTTTTGTTCCTACCCAGTATAAACGTTCCCTAGTGAAATGTTTGTTCTCAGGGGTCAGAAAAATATGCACGAGTGACACAGTGATGGATGAGTTTCGACATATACATTCGGTTTTATTAGCTTTATCACTTGTCACAGTGAAGAAAGACCACATCTAGAAAAGACGGCTTCTGTACCAAAGAAAGCTATCTTTATTAACCTACCATTCAAGGGTGACCAGATTATGCAGTTGACAGGTAGCGCGAAGACTTCGGTCAGCCATCAAGCGCGCACATTCTACGCCGCATCTCTTTTTCTCACTTGCCGAACATTTTCGATCCCTGTACTTACGATTAAAGGATGAAACTCTAATTCAAACTGTACCTACAAGTTCACCTGCAGTTGCTGCTGTGATACACTCTATATAGGTAGAACCAATAGAATGTTCCAATGTCGTCAAGAAGAACATGTTCCAAACTGGTTACTAAAACATATAGAAAATCCAAATACAATTAATTTGAATAGAAATCCAGCATCATTCATTGCAAAACAATTATTGATGTCAGGTCACAAAATCAATATTAATGACTGTTTCACAATTATCTGATCACATAACTCTAATTCAAGGTTTGTTATTGAAGGTGATGGAAGCCCAAACTGTGTGTACTAAAAACAATAGACTTCAATCTTCGCCTACTATGGACTACTTGATCTTTTAAATATGATTGGTCGTTAGTATGTACTTTTATTCTATATTCAAATGAGCCGTGACCAGTAGGGTACAGCAGGTTGAAGATAAGGCAGTAACTCATCGAAGAAGACATTGCGAGATGGTCGCGCTATGTCATGAATTGGAAGAAGTTAGAATTCATGGAGTGGCCACTGGATCGGGTCCCAGTGACTTTAATGGTCTACGAGCTAGCTCGCCTTGTAACCTGAAGGTCCTGGGTTCGAATCCCGGTGGGTGCGTACTGATGAAGAGTCCTAGACTAGTTTGACGAAACACCTGTCCAGTACTCCCAGGTTTTCCAGTGATTCTCTAACTGATGTCAACTCATGATGAAATCCTCCATGAAAAGAGTAATTGTTAACCATGTTAGTTGTAAAGCGGTTGTAAAGAAACTACGAAATGATGCCATCATCTCACGAAATTTGTCTTCTAAATGCCTTATTCAAATTATTCATTAGTATCAAAAAAGTATGCTCTAATAGTTGATTGGTTGGTTAGTTTCTTCATAAATTGTTGTGTCAACCTTCCAATTGGAGACTGGTCAACTGGATGGTGGTTGAGTGGTGATGTTTTTCTCTCCTGTTGAGAGATTCGAATCTAGCACTCATCGATTCAGATGCCAAAGCAACTGTTGATTGGTTCCAGGTTACTGCCTCTTAACTAATTAACTTATTTTCACCTGAATTGTATTCTTGTTAGTCAACAGTTTCTGGTCTAATTACTTCATTATTTTTCTTATTCCAGTGCTCCCAATCACTTCACTGAGGAATGGTTACAAAAATTCAATTACGAAGCTGGAATTAATTGGCGACTCAAGGTTAGTTAGTAAGCGAACAAATGACCAGGAATATTCTATTTTGTCTATGTTACGAGCCACTATATATATATATATATATATATTCAGGGTTTCAGTACAGAAGACGTTCCTTTGATCGAGGAATCCAGTTTTACAAACTGTACAACAAAGTTAAACTTTAAGCGCCGTCAACTACCAATCAGCGAATCACCTTGAACGCACCAATGTCTGTCTGTCTGTTTTCGACATAGAACTTTCCACCAATGTGCAGCAGTTCAAGTCGCCACACTCCATGTAGCACACAAAGAAAGAGAAGAAAGTAAAAAGAAATGCATGATAGAGACAGTAAGTTGATGTGTGAGACAAAGGAATAGTAATAACGAAGAACAACATAGTTTCATTGGAAATCATGAGTCACAAGGAGTGGATGCATCTGCACTGTCATGGAGGACGATGATTTTGAGCCATATCACCAATTGTCTCCAGCCTTCTTTGCTTTTTACCGTCCCGAAGACCCCAACCAGGAAGTCTACACCTTCCTACATGGCAAGTTTAAACTAACTGTTGTGGATTTCATTGACTGATGAAGCCATGTTTTGGTTTGACCGCCGCTGGCTAGCTCTTTTCCAGGCTGACCCTATGTCAGCTAACATTGACCATTGTCGAGGAAGGCGATGATTAGGCATGAAGACGTAACACATGTCCTAACCATCTCAGTCGATGTAACTTCACAGCCTCATCGATTGATTTCCCCTCCCACTACCTAGCACTCGACCGAGGCCTAACCTCAATATTGCTCACCTTATTATACCACTTCACACGGGAGATAGGACGCAGACACCTATGATCAAAGACAACGCTAAGTGTTTCATGTCTTCTACTCTTAATGGCCAGGTTTCACAGCTAGCCATAAAGGAGGACGGAGCGGACTACTGAGCAGTATACACACGGAACACACCAATCACGTGAAGGAGGCATTTTTGTGTATGGAATACATATATTTATGAAAACAAGAATGCATAAAAACTGTATAAAAGTGTTACAGAGGATATGACTTCCTCTCACATATGAGAAAAAAGTAGCTCTCAGTTTTAGGTTGGAATATCAACAGAGTATAATTCCATTGTGGGGGAAATTTATTTTGACAATTTCTCATAGTGCAATACAGTAATATTTCCTGAGCGATAAGTTGTGCTTGAAACATGGTCATCAGTAAATATTATTGTATAACACACTGTGAGACTTTATCAAAATAAATTTTACCCACAATGGAATTATACTCTACCGCCACAGTGCACAAGTACTATTCTTATATCAACAGAGTAATTTAACCACATTCTATGCATGTAATTATTTGCGTCTTCTAATCCTGATCTTTCCTGAACCTAACCCTATCGTGAAAATATCCCTAAACTAACCCTAATCTAACTCGAACCAACCCTAATGCCACCTTTATTGGGTTAACCTAACCCTAACTTGTCATTGGCTTAAAGAGTAACTTAATCTTTCCCCAACCTAAGCTGAAACTTGCCAGATATCCCAATTAATAACATAACACTTCGATGGGCATATTTAATTGATGCTGACAACATTTTTTGCCAGGTTTCACTTACTAACTTGCTCAGTGAGCATTTCAAGGTCATTAGTGCGGTCGCACTCCATTGGTAGTTAGCTAGTGGTGCTTAAAGTTTAACTTGGCCAACTGTACCTTGAAAATAGTATCATTAACCAACCTTGCTTAATCATTAAGGGGAGATTACAGACATCACCATGTTTATAGTGTGATTCACGTTGGCTGCATATTTTTGCTTTATCCTCGATATTTTTTATGTCTATTCATCATTTGTTTCCTCTGCTCTGCTGTTATTTTCTTTCCCTACCTCTCCCTCACCCCCACCCTGCATATCAAAGGGTAACTTGAAAGGGGTTTGACATCTTGGTGGTTCAGTTGGGAGGATTCCCACGAGGTGACTTTAAAATCATCAGTATGGAAGCCTTCTGCACTAAACACAAGGAACAGGATGCAAATCTTCAGGTCAAAGACTTGTTGCTTCACGGGAGGCATTTGTAACAGACTACAAACTTTTATACACAACTGCCTTAGCTGGCTCGATACTAAAGGTCCGATGGCCGGCCAGAAAGCATTAGTAAGCAGCAAGGAACTCTGTGGATAAGCTAACTGACAACTACGCAGAAGGAAACGGAGATGAATGGGATATATGCTGAGTAAATCGTTGAATGAAACGTTAATGGGTGTAGCGATGAGTTCGGCGTCCTAGGGTGCTGACATGGAAGAGATTCTGTGAGGTGGAAATTATTGAAGCTTCTGCATACTTTCTACAAAGTTGTTCACCCTTCACAATAGCACGTTTCGGCCCTTCACATGCAAGCTCATTATCCAGCCAGCATTGAAATACAATTCGTGCATGTCGTACGTGTTTGTATCTTTTTACTATGTGAGGGTTCATCTTCAGAATACGTGAAGATGTGGCTCCAATGGTTTAAGCATTCTACTTTTATCCAGTGATCTGTAGACTGAAATTTCTTTCCATCTACTTCAGTTTGGGCAATTAGGCAGTAATATCAAAGCATGCACCATAAATGTGGCTCATAGAATTGTCGAATTTCAGCACAAATTTTCAAGTTAATTGACTGTATTTACGTGTGATTCCGTAGTTGTGCATAGTTGGTAGATCACACTACTGTAGGAAATAAACTTTTCTTGAAAATCAAATCATTTCATGCTTTCCTAATCGGCAACAAATGTCATATCTTCATCCTTTGACAGATTCTGGAGCATGGGCATACTTACCGGTGGCGCCCAACAATCGTCATATTTCTTGACTTTAAAGGGACATTCGATTCCGTCTATCGAGAGAGGTACTATGGCAATGTTTGGCTGTGAGGGGAATGTCAAGAAAATGCATCGCATTGATCAAGGCACTCTACTCGAACTCTCAAGCAGTCAGCCAGTTGAAAGCCTACTGAGAGTTGTCATCTGAACTGGTGACAACTAGTGGTGTCCGTCAGGGATGTCCACTATCCTCATTTCTGTTTAATTTCATTATAGATGTACTAATGGACTTAAACCTAACTAACTTGAGAGACTTAGGGATTGACTTGTTACCAGGGACGGAATGATCTATTTGACTTAAAGTATGCAGATGATATGGTCCTTCCTCTTAGATGAAGACGCTGATTAAAACCAGCAGAGACTTCTGAACACCTTGAACATCAATCTGCGAATTTTTGGCATGCGAATCGCTCCCGTCAAATGTAAGATGATACTACGGGACTGGACTACATTGACTTCTAGCTTAAAGATAGGGAGTAAAGTTGGAACGTATTGACCACTTCACTTATTTGAGGAGCTGCATCAGCCAGTGCCAATAGGTTGGTCACTGACGAAATCTCAGCACGCAAGTAGAACTCTCGTTTAGCAAATACCCGCGAAATTACGCCATTTCTAGCTTAGTAGAGGTGATATCCAGCTGGCTGTGGACCAAAAGCCGTCTGCACTGCCCAGCAGTTCGATCCGTCCTTTCTTATGACTGTGAGACATGGTCATTGAAACTGGAAGACATGAAAAAGACTGCCTAGGTGTCTTCGATCATAGGTGTCTGTGTTCTATCTCCCGTGTGCGTTGGGTGGTATAATAGTATGAGCAATATTGAGGTTAACTATCGGTCGAATGCTATGCAGTTTGGCGGGGGGCGGGGGAAATCAATTGAAGAGATTGTGAAACTGTATCGATTGAAATGGTTATGACATGTGATGCGCATGTCTGGCCATCGCCTTGCTCGACGGATGGTGTTAACTGACATTAGATAGATCATGTTGGAAAAGAGCTGGAAGGTGGTGGTCAAACCAAAACATGGCTTCATCAGTCAATGAAATCCACAACATTTAGTTTGAGCCAGCCGGCTACTTAGGAAGGTGTAGACTTCCTGGTTGGGGTTGTCGGGATGGTAAAAACCAATAAAGGTTGAAGACAATTGGTGATATGGCTCAAAATCGTTGTCAATGGCTGGCGCAGAAGCATTTACTCCTTATGATTTATACTGTCCGATAAAATTCTATTGTTCTTTCATATTACCTTTCGTTTTGCTTCATATTTCTGTATATTATCTCTCTCTTTCTTTCGAATCCCTCTTCTCTTGGTTTGTGTGCTACATGGAGTGTGGCGACTTGAACTGGTGCACATCTGTGCAAAGTTCTACGTTGAGACCAGTCAGTCAGCAGTGAATGTCATGAAGCGATTATTGACGTGCAATGAGATGATAGTTGAAGCTGACACCAAACCATAGATTGAGACAGAATCTGAACAATTTACTTCAGGGGTAATGGAACTAGGGCCTACAGACTAGGTCGTGTATCCTATTTACTTTGAAAACCCTGCTACAAGCCTTCCATTGTATTGATTTCCTCTCACTTTCATGTATGCAACTTCGAAACTGTTCTGTTCTGATACCTGCATTTCGTATCGCACGCACTAAAAGACACCATGTCAAATATTTATGTTCCTAAAGTATACTACTACTATTACTGTTGGATATAAGTAGTTTAAATTTGCAGTCAGATATTTTGAAAGGTCTTATTGTAAATGTAGTTTGTAAATAATACACTTTGTTATTGTGAACGGATTAACTATGATGGAGCACTCTTGTTATTAAGTTGTTGTTAGAACTCACACTAGACTAATAAATATTCCTCATCTGTGCCTCCTTCTCGCAGTCGATAGTTAGTAATTGGTACACCTGTTCTGGTTGCTGGGTTATCTTTATCACCCCCGTCTTCTCCATGTTCACGTGGAGTTCTGTCTTTACTACCCCTGCATATTCTGCCAACTGTTTGACTTTTGCCTGTAGATCGTTTTCTAGTTTATGTGATATTTGACATATGAACTGTGCAAAGTTTGGATGGCGAATTAGTTCACAAACAGGTGAATTCGATCCTGACTGATTGGTTTCAACGTAGAACTTTGTACAGATCTGTAGCAGTTCGAGTCGCTACTCTCTCTCTCTCTTTCCATACAGCACACAAAGCAAGAGAAGAGATTAGGTAAAGAGGGATCCGTCACGCCAAAAGAGAGATAATAAACAGAAGTGTGACTGAGGGAATAATAATATGGAAGAACAATGGAATCTCATTTGATATTATAAATCACAAAGAGTGAATTCATCTGCCCCAGATATCGCCGAGAACGATGAGTCTGAGCCATATCACCAATTGTCTCCAACCTTCATTGGTTCTTACACCATCCCGAGGGCCCCAACCAGGTAGGCAGGAAGTCTACACTTACCTACCTACGTGGCTGGTATGAACTACCTGTTGTGTATTTCATTGCCTGATGAAGCCCTGTTTTTGGTTTGACCAATTTCGATTTGAATTTGACTCAATAATTGTCTTCCTGCTCATCAACTGAAATTATCATGAGCTTACTTTTGTGTTGAATGGTTGTGCTGCAGTTGATTATTTCACATAACTACCATGTTATTATTACCATTATTATTATTATTATTATTATGTGTTTGTCTCCTACTTCCTTTCATAATCAAGGTCAGTAATCTGAAGAAAGTACTGAAGGCTGTTATTGATTTTTTAACTGAGGTACGTTAATTAATTTGTTGAATTTCCTCGATTATAAGTTCATTATCATCTGACAACACATGCTGTTACCCTCCAACCTCCACTCCTCACATATATATGTCACTAAGCGTGTGTGCTTCTTTGTTTGTTCACGTATGTTGACGGAAACACCTAAATATGTCATGTAGATATGATGTATAGCTTGATTCCACAACGTGTTTAGGTACACAACTATGGAATTTTCAGCATGCGATATCGGTAGCCCAAATTTAGCAGGCCGACCATTGATTTCAGGTGTACGTCGGCCTGGGATCGAACTCCTGGACCATGTGCATGGTCGGCGAGCGTCCTAACCGCCGTACCACCGATGCACCTTTAAGCGTATATGTAATAAGGCGTATCTAAAGACAAGGGGGGAAATAGACAGATAAAATTATCTCTTTTACTGAGTGTGAAAAAACATCAAGTTCTCGATAAACACTGAAATTCTCAGTCTGAGTATTGATTTGTATTCTTCAGTTTTTAGCCTTCCTGACTCTAATTTACTAATCATTAGGGCCATCTTATTATTGTTATTATTATTTTTATTTAATTATTATTTTGATTACAGCTTGATTCCACACTGTATTTTTGCTACAAGTATGGAATTTTCAGCATGTAATATAGGTAGTCCAAATTTTGCAGGCCGAACATAGATATCAGGTGTGCGTCGGCAGGGGATCGAACCTCGGACCATGTGCATGGTCAGTGAGAGTCCTAACCACTGTGCCACCGACGCACTAAGTTTTATAAATGCCGGTAACATCCGGTATTCCCAGCCGTTGTGTGATTATAATTGATGATTTGATTATGAACAATAATGAATTGTATTCGAAACTGTGTTATCCAGTTAATAATAATACTGTTTCACTCACGGCGAGTGATATATCTAATAAACAAACTAATATGGAATGATGGTGATATCACTTGTCGCCTTTTATTTCTTCAACAGGTAGTTACCATACTACTGTTAATTAATAAGTAGTATTGTTCTGATAACATTGTTTTTTCTTCTCTCGACTCATTTTCTATTCTATTCTATTAGTCCGATTAATGTGTTAAATAGATAACGATTTGTGTACTGACAAAAATCTCTAATATTTGCCCGTAATTTTTACTTCTTATTCTCTTTGTATCCCACTTAAAATGCCCTAGGCAAAAGTTAAACAAAACGAAATCATTGCTGTTGGTGGTGTTTTTATTAGTAGTGGAACTGCAACTGTAGCAGTAAGATGTGTTCCATGAGTTTCATGTGTTTTTGTTCCTACTCTTCCTTGGTTTTTTCTTTATGTTCCCTTTTACACCAACGTTGTAGTTGCAGATTTGTATTCTAATTACTTTGTTAAATGGTGGCTTTCTCTGCACTGTTGGTGGGTCAGCAGAGGAATTCAGAGTGTGCGTCTTGATGTCTTTTTAGGTTATCATCAGCTGCATGCACCAGCATCTTCATTGAGTGACACAGTTTCCAGAACCCGTCGTTTTTAATGCTCTTACGAGTTCCAAATAGGAAGAAGGGAAGGGCATCCTGACATCCACTCTTATTCACCATGAACCAAGTGAAAATATGTTAGTCTCCAAAAACCACCTGGTGTGACTGAGGGTGGGTAAACTCTGGTCTTCCTCCCTCTCGAATTGTTCTCATGTGGCCACCAGGGAAGTTCTGTCCACTGCCTTCACGCGGCGGGTGGGGATGTTCCTCACAAAAGTGAAATAGCGAATGTTAACATCTCGTGTGTATAACAGGACTGGCCGATATTCATGTAGGTCTAACTACGGGGCTGAGGAGCTGGAAACCCCTAACTCCAAACCTATGGTGTATACACGTAGACTGAAGAATCCAAGTGGATCAAATGGTGTACGAACCTGTTTTGGTAGCCGGAAACCATGGGAATACGCGTAGCTCCTGACGCTGCCCTATCACCTTGTGAACCAGACTTAAAGTCACAGGCTCGAGGTATGGGCTGTTTAGATATCCAGATATTTCGATCTAGTCGTCCCGGCAGTATCTTAGCCTTCACATAGACTGTGAGATTTTGTGTGGCGCGTCTTTCGGTAGCCAAAATGCGCTAATTTTGTGTTTGAATAATAATCAAATAGTGAAATTAATCAGCGGAAAATACAAAAATAATAATTTCAACAAACGAGGTTATCTATGTTTCTCCTTGTTTGACATTTAGGGTTTTTCTTTGGATATGATGTAACTCTTTCCGAAGTTGAGTTTGTCAGAATTTTGATATCCTTCTGTACTTGCAAAGAAAATTTGGACGCAGTTCATAGTTTCATTATTATTGCGCTGTTTATATCCTAAATATTGTTACATTCAGATGACTTCAGTTTTCGTGCTGCTAATGTTCGTATTTTTTTCTCTCTCCCTTTTCAGGAAATTGAAGACAGAATATCTGTTCATTTGTTACCTAATCTTCAAGAAATTGGTAAGTTTATTTACTAATTTGTTATTATTATTATGGAATTCGCAGATGATTTATGTTTGATGTCACACAAAATCGAAGACTTACAAGCGAAAACCGACAAACTGGTGGAAGAAGCAGCAAAGACAGGACTGCAGGTGAACATAGACAAGACGGAGGTTATGCAAATAACCAACCAACAACAACAGCAACATCCAGCCCTAATCACCATCAACGGGAGGGATTTGAAAGAGGTTACTTCATTCACTTATCTAGGGGACATTGTATGAACTACACGAGGAACGGGCGAAGATGTCAAATCGAGCGAGAATCGGGAAGGCGAGAAAAACATTCATCAACCTGAAACCATTCTGGAAATCTTCGTCACTCAGCATCAACAACAAAATTCGGATTTTCAATACAAACGTCAAGTCAGTCAGTTCTTCTATACGGATGGATCAGAAACTTGGCGAGTCACAAAGAATATTTCCAACAGCCTGTTGCAGACCTTTATCAACAACTGTCTTCGCTCTATACTGAAGATCAGATGGCCGGAAAGAATCACCAACAAGGAACTGTGGGAACGAACAAAACAAGAACCAATCGCCCAACAAACATGCAGGAGAAAGTGGAGATGGATTGGACACTCGCTGAGGAGGCCGTTGAGTGACATCGCGCGTCAGGCCAGTGTTCAAGTGTAACCCGAAGCGGTGAGTGGTACGTCCAAAGGTGACATGGAGGAGATCATGTGAAGAAGAGTTGAAAGAGTATGGACTAACATGGATGCAGGTGAAAAGTGCAGCAGAAGACAGAAGCAAGTGGAGACGTGTAGTTGAAGCCCTATGTTCCACTAGGAACCCAAGAGAACAATAATAATAATATTATGATTTTTGCAATACATTGAGTTGCAATAGGGACTGCGAGCTGGACACAGATGCATGGATACCGCTTGACTCCGCCAACAGCGTACACAACAGCTAAACGATCTGCCAGCCCACTGTGGAAAGTGATGTATATTTTACACAATGACGTATAATTCAAAAATTTCACCAAGGATATATGTCAATTAGCCTAGAGTCATGATCAATAAAATAGTGGGCGTTATTTTACATGGGTCAATTCGGATTGGTTTATTTCCGGACTGGATATCGACCAATTAAGTTGGCCCATTCTGGTTGGTTGAACAAAGCTCAAGAACAACAGTGGTTTGTGCAGAATAAAATGCTACCATCACTTATTCAGCTGACTTCTCATCAGCTCAGCTGCTTACAGCCCAAAGACACTATTCAGTTCATGTACATAAACAAATTTAACATACATAGAGAGTTCATTTTTAAACAAAAATCAACCAATATATGCATACAATAATTATAAATATATAATGGAAACTCGGCATTACGTAATCATATGAGAGAAAGGATGAAAACATCCAGTTAACAGGCAGCAGGGCAAGGAAAGACTGATAATCGCTTCTTTCTGAACACACGAATCAGGTTTCAGGTGCTTGATGGAGATTGCTTCGACAAACTCGAGGAGAATTGAACTCTTTTGCCTATTGATAATTTTGAATGATCTTGCGACGTCCACCTCATGACCCGTGTCAAAGAGATGCCTGACGATGACAGTGATTAAAGCATTCGTTCCCTTTAGACATAAGATTTTTGGTACATGTTCAGAAAATCAGAGGTATGTCGTCGTTTCTGTTCCCCCAATGTAATTGCTCCCTTAGATACATGTAAATTTGTATATACAGATGGAGTTGTTAACATGAGAAGGATATCTATCGAGTTTTGATTGCACCAAAAAGCAAGTTGTTCGACAGACGGGAACCAACTTAGCTAGCTGCAGGATAGGCTCTGGCTAGTGACATATTCAATCTTCTTTTGACAACTCCTGCAATGTTATCACCTTTATAGTCAAATTCAATAAAGATAGGCATTCAAGCCATCACATCTTCCGTGTTTGTTAAAGAGCCTCTGAGGGTAACCGTTGTTTCTCAACAGCTTCTCGAGAATCAGACATTCTTCCTCTAATTTCTCCATAGAGCATATTCTCCTGACTGACTCTGTAGAACAAAGTCTTGATTAGTGCTCGTTTGTAGCTATTTGTACAAAAGCTATTAAAATGCAAGTATTGCCCCCATTCCATGTCGGCTGTCTGTAAATTTACCTCTGAAGACTACCATCTTCTAGGCGTTGCTTGGCAATGTCAAGGAAATGGAAGTTTCCATCGCTTTCATTTTCCATAATGAATTCGATATTTGTATATATACCTCGTTGAATAATCCGAGTAGGTTGGAGGCATGACTTTCATTGTTGCATACTACAAATGTGTCATCTACATAACGACAATAAGAAGTTGTTTAGTCGATTGCATGCTTCAACTTTATTCTTTTAAGGTTAAACAGAGATGTTTGCTAAAACAGGGCTAAGTGAACTGTCCATAGCTACACCATGTGTTTAGTAATACAGAGTGCTATCAAACTGGGATTGTACATCTGTAGTACACATTATCGGCAGGCATTTGAATTCCGACACTGAGAGTGGGAGAAGGGCATACCTTTGATTTCCTGGACATGTACCAAAAAGCCTACGTCTCAAAAGAACAAATGTTTTCAACAGTGCCATCGCCAGACATCTCCTTGACACACGGATCATGAGGTGGACGTCGCAAAATCGCTTAAAGTTATCAATAGGTGAAAGAGTTCAATTCTCCTAAAGTTTACTCAACCAATCTCCATCAAGCGCCTGAAAGCCAATTAATGCGTTGAGAAAGAAGCGGTTATAAGTCTATCCTTGCCCTGCTGCCTGTTAACTGGATGTTTTCATCCTCTCCTTCATCTGATTAGGTGATGCCGAAAAATTCCATTCTGTATGGCTATTATTGCTGTTTGGGATAAAGTGGTTACTAATGTTATTAATACCGTTGTACGCATAAATATTGATTGTTTTGTTTAAAAATGGACTCGCTGTGAAAGTGTGTTAAAATTGTTTCTGTACACAAACTTAGGAATGTCTTTAGGCTGTAAGCAGCTGATGAGAAGCCAACAAAATAAATGAATGATGGTAGCATTTTATTCTGCACAAACCACACTGTTATTCTTGCTTTATTCAAATTCATTAAGGGGAATAAATTTATGAAGTTTCTGATTGGTTTATTTTCAGACTGGCATGGATCATGGTATCAGTGTTTGCTATCGCCTAATTATCTGTTGATACTGTTTCATTTCCCTGGGAATATGTCCACATGTAGATATCAAAGTATACTTTCTCCCTTAATACTGAAACATTTTAACTTACGTCGGACTGTCAAGGAAGGCTTCGTGTGCTTTTGGAAGTGTGTGTGGGTGGTTGTTACTTCCCGGCTGTCCACACTGTGCAAGTTGATTGATTCTTCGGGAACCTGAAACAGAAAGAGTGTTGCGTGACCGCAGAGTCCAGGGGACAACTGCTTGAGGCCGGTCACACGCGGTCTGTTTTTGTTTGTTCTTTTTTGTTTGGTGTGTCTCAGTAGCATATTTATCACTTCTGCCCTGTGAAACGGCAGCAGGAAGCGCTGTCGTTGTTAATCCGGACCCCGACCGATCCGGCATGATATTTTGTGATTTACTTTGAGTCATAGCATTGGGTTGGGTAACTGCTTTTTGTCTAACCGCTATCCAAACAACCTTTCTGGCATGGTAGGACCTCAATTGACATAAGTCTCAGCCAGTATAGCTTGTAGGTTCATTACGGTATTCAAGCCCGACCACCACATCAAGGTAGCAGCTTTCGGTCGGTATGACAAAGTGAACCTAGGAGATTTCAATTTCATGGATGACTTATATCTCATGTCAGAAAGTACTCGAGGATTTATTTACTCGAAGCAAAACACAGAAAGTTAGCAGAAGAGGTAATGAAGGTGAGATTCTGGGTGAACATAGTGGAAGCAACGGTAATTAAAAATATCCTACCACAAACGGTAAAAAGAACACCAATCATCCTGAATAGGAGATATCTGAAGGGAGTGACCTGTGTCACTTGCTTAGTTGGCATCGTTCTAACTACAGGTGTTAGAGATGAGGATGTCAAAGCCACCTCAAAATCAGTGTGGAGATCTACAGCAGTCACGCCGCAGCACAAATGTAGCGAATCCGAATTTGTTTTAGATTAATTTCAAAACAGTTAGTACTTCTCTGTGATGCTTCAGAAACTTAGCACCGCTTCATCACCATAAGGATTTCCATCAATAACTGTTCAATAATTATGCAGAAGAAAGTGGAGATAGATAGAGCATACGCTGTGGAGACTCCTGAGTGACATTACGCACCAGGCAAATCCTCCACTAGAAGACCCAAACGGAGAGCGACGATTTGTTTGAGGAATAGGAAATAGAAGCCTATGCGCCGACTGACAAAAGACTAAAGGAAAACGGAGGGAAATGGGGATGTACTGCTGAATGAAGCCCTACATTACACTCGAAACATAAGAAATGAATAATAATAACAATCATAATAGTAAAAAACTCTACACGACCGATGGTGCTATCTCGATTGAAAGATAAGGTACCTAGGCTAGTCACTTCAAATTGTATCTATCAATTCAACTGTGCTTGTGGAGCGAGTTACACTGGCCGTTGCTCTAGGAACTTGATTTTTCGTGCTCGAGAACATATCTCACTATGGCTAAGTAAAGGTGTAGTTAAAACTATTAACAGCTCGATATTAGACCATCTGGTGCAAACCGGTCACAAAGCCAGCTTAGAAGAATCCTTCTATATAATATATTGGGTGCCTAATAAATTGCCAAAATCATCGAAGCACCGCATGCTCCAAACAGCAGAGGCTATTGCAATTTGCCTCAAACAACCAGTGCTCTGTGTTCAAAAGAAACGAGTCCAGCCCCCCTGGCCCTCAGTAGAAACTATAAACTCATGAATTTGTGCTATAATCTTTCATAATTCTTTTGACATTCAGCTTATTTTATGTTGATGCTATTGAACTGTAATCCATTAATAGTATTATTATTGATTCGATGCTATTTAAACAGCATTAATGTCGTTCATAACACTAATTCATTCATTTACTATAATGTATATATAATTGTAGAGCCTGATGATGAATTTATCGAAAAGAGTACTCTTTGCTCAGTGTCCACTCTTTTGAAAAACCTGTTCTCTTAATTTAGTGTTCTGAATCCTATTTGCACGCTTGCTGAATGATAAACTTGACTCATGAAAATTGTGTAAAGCATATAGAATCTGACATATGATAGTTTTTGACTCACATTAGGGGGTGCCAGCGAAGTTAAGGGAATAGCGGCGATTACTGAGAACTTTGTGATGAATAACCTTAAATTGGTAAGTCACGAATACCTTGCATTAGATTATGATAATAATTGGACGCAGATAAATATGCATCTGTGGTGGAACTATGTTAATTAAGGCATATAACGAGACGTGTATTATGTGCTTTACGAAGTAATCTCTTCATGATGACATTCTGCAGGTACGTTTCCCGTAAGTTGTAAAGTATTTCTGCACAATAAAGTCAATTAATTGGTGGTGACTAGCTATCGAATCTAGGATGCGCATTTCTTCCCGTTTAGGGCTCGTTATCTGGATGTACTTGCATTCCGCAGTGAGTGATAGTGTGTTCCCCCACCGGGGCTTGAAGCCAGTATCCATAGTCTCAAATGCCAAAGCCTTATCCACTAGACCAGTTAGAGCAAGAGAGCCACTCCCTGTGCGATGGTTCTTATTAATTATGTTATTCAATTTAGATTTTCCCGTCGATTGGTTGGACCGAAGTGCTTGGTCTCGCGTTGACATGTTGGCTCCTCCTTGTGTACATGCTTCATTGTTGAATTCGACTGGTCTTCTCTATAAATTTCCCTATGAGGAGTTGAGAAGCTTCTTTACAACATATAAAGAAGAATTGTCCCATATGAATATTCAGCTGTCTGTGAAGTTTTTGGATTATAATTCATTAACAGGTTGATGTTTTTTTATGTTGTTCCGCTTTTTGTGGTTGGTTGTTCAAGGTTACTTAGGAGATTCTCGATGGTCACCAACATACATCTGAAGTTAACCTAGGTAAAACTCAAAGATGAGTCAAATGTTAAGCATGTAATAAGTTTTTTTCAACACTTAAGCATCCACTCAATCACAGCCTCTACAGGAACTGAATCGAGGACCTTCAGTTCACAAGACCAGCCCGTATACCATCCAACCAGCGGGATGGAATTCAAAAGCTCGTAAATTCTAACTTTTGCCAACTCGAAATATATTTAGCGCTGCTAGCGACGTTCTGGTGAGAAGCTGTGACCAACTAGGTCCACCAAGTTGCGTGAATTCAGAAGTACTAAGCGATGGCAGTCGTTGGGTGGGTGGGGGGTCATGCTATATTTTACGAGTCAACAGAAGTTGGAATTTACGGTCCATCGCGCACCGCGTCCCAATAGTTCAGTGATACGGGTCCTAGGTGCGATCCCTGGTGGCGTCAGGGGTACGTAATGTTGAAGAGTCCCAAACAAGGAAATGACAGCTCTCCGGTACTCCTTGGTTCTTTAACTGAAGTCATTCCGCAATCAATCTTCAAATCAGTAAAATCCCTGTAAACCATCACTTGAAAATTTGAACATGTGCTACTCTTTGGTGTACATAAACTGAGTTACATTTCGATTCAGTCAGTCATCTCGGTATTGAAGCTTATACTTTCCCTGGGTGTGACTCTAACCAAATCTGTTGGGGTTCATAGAATTATTATATGTGTAAAACTTGGGCACTGTGGTAGTAAGTAATAAACAAACTAATATGGAATTCATAGAATTATTTTGTTGATTTTTCTGTGAAATGCATCTGGATCATGAGTATTGTTCAAAGGTTTGTTTTCATCATTATTTTCTTCGATCGCCTACACACATGTTCGATTTATGTCCCATTTATAAACTATTTCAGGGGAATTTGAAAGAATTAAGTGTATAGCGTCACCATTCATCTTTAGTCTTTTATTTATTGATGCCGTATACTACTAACTAATGTTTGAGTAGTTGAAATCAGCGACGATAAGTTTTCACTCCTTTTTTCTGTAAATTGATAAATAACCTGAATAATTGTATAACTGTTTTTCAGCTGAACATGAAGATAACGAGTCAACCTTTCGTCTGTTACAACTTATTCTTGGTTGTGCTGTCAACTGTGATAATAAAGAAACGTATATCCAAATCATCATGTGTATGGAAGAATCAGTACAACAAGCATTAATGGAGGCGATACAACAAGTAATACTCTATTTTAAACTGGATATTTTAAAAAAACTTATTCTCCGTCATTTTAAAAGACTGATATTAATGGGGAGCAAAGAATACTTTAGGACAAAAACTGTTCTCAAATAATATGATCTCGCTATCAAATAAGGATGAAAATAAGTGTGGACTTCTTATTTTAAAAGTAGTGTTCAATTTGTCTGTATGCACAAAGAAGGTTTTCTTTAAGTGGAAAGGCAATACTATCTTGATTTCTCTGGATTGTCAATCTCCGGATTGAGTCTTATCGCCATCTAGAATGTCATTTTGCCCTCAGTCATCATCCTTTTACGTCAATATCATCCTACTTAACCAACTTTGTCTTAGACAAATAACCAGCAATAATTTCTTAATGTAATATTACGGTTTTTAGGTATTTTTGTCATGAATAAGGGTCATGTTTTGTCCAAGTTTGAGGCTCTTCAGTATTGTAATTGACCAATGAGGTCCAGCATTTCAGGATGAGTTGACTGTTCGTCGATGATGATGGTCAAAGTGTTGTGGCCAGACAGTAACCAGATGCATGTCGTAATCTAAAGGTCCTGGGTTCGATTACCGTGGGGAGGGGCCGTCAGGAGTGCGAACTGTTGGAATGTCCAGAACTAAGACCCGACATGAAGCAGTACTAGTTGCAGATTGTGTAATCGAATGAAAGCGAGCGTAAAGACATGGAGTTACCAATGCAGGGAGAGACTGATAACTGCTTTTTTTCTGTGAACACATAAATTGGGTTCCAGGCGTTTGATGACGATTGCTATGACAAACTTTAAGAGAATTGAGTTTTTTGGCCTATTGATTATTCTAAAGGATTTCGCGATGTTCTGGCAGTGGCACTGTTGTACACATTTTGTTCTGTTGGCACGTAGGCTTTTTGTCACATATTCTTCATAGTTTTAGACTCTTCAGCAGTGCGCACACCCACCACCCCAGCAGGGGTCGAAACTAATACCTCCAGTTGGACCAGTCAAATACGTTGACCATTAAACCACTAGACTCATTCACGCTTGATTTGATTTTTGTTTTTCCGCCTTCCTCAGGTAGCCGGTGGGAATTTCGCTTATTTGAATTACTCAACTATCTGATTTGTGTTGATGTGCACTGTCGTGAATTGTGGTAGTCAGGCTTTATTGGCTTAAGCACTCTGCATTTAGTCATTTTCTTGGTAGTGTCACCAGCCTTCATGTATAATAAGCGTAGGTCATTATCTGCTACATGAAATATGTGATTCATCAAATAATCGAGCAAAGAATATCCTTTTCGATAATTTCCTCTTCTGACTCTACAATTATATATCTATGTATTCATATACATAGAATATTCTAGAATAGTAGTCAATAACAATATCAGTGTTTTTTAAATACTACCGATTTGTAAAGTAAGATCGCAGTGGAATTACAGCTCATTAAAAATGCTTAAATAATAATAATAATAAAGATATAATAACAAGTACAATATGAACTAAAATTAGGAAAATTCTACAAAAATTCAGGATCACTCGAACCTAGATGGCCACTGGGGTAAGGATAATGTCTGAACCAACTAGCTTCTTTTGGACGCACAAATTAGGCTTGTTAATATGGATCCCAACAGCCAGCTTCAGCAATATTTAGTAGTTGAACTCTTAAGGCGAAATTGAGATTCGTGGGTATGCGGTAAATGACCCTGAAAGCAACAACGTTGACATCAATCTTGTGTTCTGTATCCACAAGATGAGATAGAATAGCGCCACGAATAGTTACCAATTTACCACTTACCAGTTTACCAGTTACCAATTTAACTGCTCCACAGGAGCGGTTACATAGGCCGTACAATTTGGCGTGTTTCTCGTCGAATTTCCCAACATCACCCTGTTTGGTTGGTTAACTAAAGGACAAACAAAATCTATTCATAGCGCTATTCTATCTCATCTTGTGGATACAGAACACAAGATTGATGTCAACGTTGTTGCTTTCAGGGTAATTTCTGCATACCTACCAATCTCAATTTCGCCTTAAGAGTTCGACTACTAAATATTGCTGAGGCTGGCTGTTGGGATCCATATTAACAAGCCTAATTTGTGCGTCCAAAAGAAGCTAGTTGGTTCAGACATTATCCTTACCCCAGTGGCCATCTCGGTTCGAGTGATCCTGAATTTTTGTAGAATTTTCCTAATTTTAGTTCATATTGTACTTGTTATTATATCTTTATTATTATTATTATTTAAGCATTTTTAATGAGCTGTAATTCCACTGCGATCTTACTTTACAAATCGGTAGTATTTAAAAAACACTGATATTGATATTGACTACTATTCTAGAATATTCTATGTATATGAATATATAGATATATAATTGTAGAGCCAGAAGAGGAATTTATCGAAAAGGATATTCTTCTTTGCTCAATTATTTTGTGTTTTATAGATGTCTGAATGAATATTTTTGCTATATGTGATTCAGTTAACGCGGTTTTATCAAAAATAAACTCCGAAACTGGTAGAAATTCTCTCCAACTTTTCGATTCGGTTTTGGGAGAATAGTAGTAGTTTTAGTGGTTTGAGATGCGCTACCTACTGCTTATATCAGTTCATGTGTACCGGTTTTTATCTACAGAAATTTATGTTTTATATCATGTGAATGAATCTCTTAAGGTGGTGGTGGTGGTGGTGGGTATATTTAAACGGCTTCACATCAGTGGGCGGTTGTCATGTGTTATGTAATCCTCACGGGAATTATTACAAATTAGGTAGTTTCATCACATGATTACTTTGTGATTAATCTGAAGGAAGAGCACTCGTGTATGTCAGTGCGAAATCCAAAATAAAACTCTATTTTTGATCAGTTACCTCCTAATGGGTGGTGGGTGTTTATTTAGCTACACTACCCAATACATGATATGTATATACTACTTATTGATTGACATGAGTAGTTGGATGCTACTCACATCTCATTAAAGTAATTTAAACACTGGAGGGCCGTTTCACTTGCTTTGGCGCTCCGAGCTTGTAAGTTATGTGTCCTGTTTAATGCAATTCAGAAAGAGTGTCACAGTGTCAGTTCAAACCACATGAATTCTGGCTTGGCTGCTTATTTAAAATTTACACATAGTGTTCCAACTGAAATTTCACCCCAGTCGCTTTCACGAAAACTAAAGTTATTCAGATAGCACAATTCATTGTGGTCTGCCTGATACCGCATGTAAAAAATTGCGAATTTAATTCAACACATTTATGAGTTCGTCTTAGCGCAGCTAGCCAGAATTCGGGTGATATGACGCCGGCATACTTACCGGCGTCCAAAAATCGTTATGAATCTTATCCATAATGGAGACACACTGGTTGACAGTGATCCCATGCATCGCTAATTGATACAAGCTAGAATTCATGAGTGTTGGCAAGTGGATCCTATCCCCAATGATGAGCTCTTTTCATAACCGGAAGGTCATGTGTTCGAGTTGTCAGTGCTTACTACTGAAGAGTCTCAAAGCAGAACGAGACAAGTTGTCCAGTACTCTCCGGTTTATCAGTGATAGCTCTAAATAATGTTGATTTGCAGCAAAATTGATAAAAGTTAAAATTCACAGGTTATCATAAACTGTGAAAGGTGTTGAGTTCGATTCCCTGATGGGTGTGGTGTTATGAGTGTTTCATGAGTACGGCTTTAGAATCCCGAACTTACGGAAGGAAATGCCTAATCATGCCTAACCATCGCCTCCCGCGACGGACATTACTAGCTGATATAGGTGCAGGTTGGAAAAGAGTAAGTGGTGGCCAAACAGAAACATGGCCTCATCAATCCATGAAATCCCTGACAGTTAAACTGAGTCAGGTAGGGAGATGCAGACTTCCGGGTTGGGGCCCGCCCTCGGGACTCTAAGAATCAATGGGTGGAGACAATAGGTGACATGGCTCAAAATCGTTGTCTTTCATATTCCTTTCTACCATTACTCATTCTGTTTCACTCTTATACTTGTAAAAACTCGATTGATTCTCTTCATCACTCTTCTTCTTGTCTACCTTTGTGTGCTCTTTGGAACGTGGCAACTGGAACTGCTGCACTTCGGTGCTATGTTCTATGTTGAATACAGCAGCAGCAGCACGGAAGGAAATCGCCGTCAAGTACCATCTGCTTTTAAAGGTTGTCAATAGTTCTCTAGCTGATATCAATACTGTGATCAAACGTTATTCTGTTCTTTTTTCTCATCTTCTCTGTGTTTTTCATTAACGCTCTAATAGTTGTTTGTTTATGTGTGTGTGTAAGCATCTCTGAGTACACATAAACATTCTCTTCAATATACACCGAGAAAGTAATCATCGGTTGTTTGATTGACGGACTTATCAATTGATCGATTTATTGATTGATTGATGGCTTAAGGTGGTTACTAATCTTGACAATTCTTCACAATACACGCAATATTCTTGTACTCTTCTTTGTAGGAGTTATAATACAGATGATTATTTCTAAACAACTGTTTATTTATTTATTTAATTATTTGTTTATTGATTCGTTTAAATGTTGGTTATGTTGGTTGGTTAGTTGGTTGGTTGGCTGGCTTGGTTAATTAAGTAATTAATTGGTTCAACTGATTATCGATTTTTTCTTCTCCGGTTGTTGTTTCTGTTCTTCTCTTTCTCTATCTCTTCTAATCAAATTCTTTAATTATTGAGAGATATAAAATGTTTATAAACACGTATTGAAATGGTCTTTTTAAAGAAATTTATTTAGTACACAGGGGTCTTTTGTTATATTATATATGTATATGTTGTATTATACATTACTTGAGTACTATTGGTCTGTTCATTCTATAGGCTTACGCCTACATACCTACAAACACTGACACACACACACAAACATACAAACAAATATGCTTGCACCTACTAACTAACTAAGTAACTAACTAACAAACCACTGTATGCTTTAACTAAACAAAGTATTGCGTTTTTTGTGTTTTTCTTTCTCGCTTCTCTTCTGCATTGGCGTCTTTATCTCCGTCTTCGCCTTCGCCTTCCGTGTTATTTTGATGTCCAGTTGATGTCATCTCGTCTTGGCGGTGTCAGTGGTCTAAGCAGTATGAGTAGTGCTAGTAGTAGTGATCATGGAGGAGGAGCAGCGGCAGCAGCAGCAGGGGGATTAGGAGTGGCAAGCGGTGGATTAATCGATTATGAAGATCGAGTAAGTGTAAATATTCTGTCTGTGTTTTTGTTTGAATAAACTTTTTTGTATCATGACATATTTCACCTGATAACTTTGTACTGTTTATGGTTAGTTATGTTTGATGTTGACCTTGGCTTTAAAGAATCGATGTTTGTGAGTTGAGGTGGGGGGGGGCGGGCGTTTGTAAGCATTTAACTGTGTGATTACATAAATGATATGAAGCAAAGTTAGGTAGGGTAACTATAATATTCTTTTTATTATTATTGATCCTTTGGGTTCCGAGTGGAACATTAGGACTTCCACAGTACATCTCCGTTTCATCCGTTTCTCTGCAGTTTATTTTATGTGACTCCACGATCTCCTTCGAAGTGATGCCCAACTTGTCGTGTCACAGTCGGGTTCTATTTGAGGGTTTGTCTTACTAGTGTGATATCACCCAACGGTCTTCTCAGCGTATGCTCGATCCATTCCCATTTCCTTTGACATGTTTTTTTTTATTGGATGGCAGGATCTTGGCTGGTTTGTTGCCTGCCAGTATTAACCCCTCTCCACGTCCCAAGATATGGACAGCCAATTATTATCACTAGCCCTCATGCACAACACGTGTGCTACACATTCCCAAGTCATGTAACGAAACGACAATGACATGAATAGATTGACTGATTTCAGCGTGGAACTTAGCAAAGATGTGTAGCAGATCGGGTTGCCAGTCTCCCTCCATATGGCACCACCTTCATTGGTTTTTACCATCCCGACGACCCCAACCAGGTAGGGAGGAAGTCTACACCTCCCTACGTGGATGGCATAAACTTGTTGTTGTGGACTTCATTGACTGATGAAGCCATGCTTTGGTTTGACCATCACTGGCTCTTTTTCCAACCTGATCTATCCTATGTCAGCTAACATTGCCAGTTATCGAAAAAGGCGATGGCTAGGCATGTATAACACTTGTCTTAACTATCTCAATCGGTGTAGCATCACATCGTCGATTGATTTTCCCTCTCACCTACTTAGCACTCGATCGATGCCTAACCTCAATACCGCTCACATTATTATACCACCTAACGCACACGGATGACGATAGAACGCAGACACCTATGATGAAGGACAGACAACTAGCCTTTTCATGTTCTCCACTTTCAATGGCCAGGTCTCACAGCCAGCCATACGGGAGGATGGATCGAACTGCTGAACAGTACACATAACCTTTGGTCGACAGCCAGCTAGATATGATGTCTACTAAGTCAGAGATGGCGCAAGTCGGCGGGCATATGCGAGACGAGCTTTCTGTTTCTGAGGTGATTGAGATTTCGTCACGGATCAACCCTCTGTCGTTTTCTGATAAAATAACAAGTTCTGCCACTTCACTCTTGCCTAGCTTTAAGCTAAGAGTCAATGTAGTCCAACCCTGTAGCATCATCTTACAACAGCTTCTTTAAGCACATTACCTTTCCATAAATATGCCGGTTTATTTCCCCACCTAAATTGTCATGGTTTACTCGGATCGGCTGTTTCAAGGTCGTCCACACATTCGTTTATTTTAGTCAGTGTTCTTTTACTTTGTCTATGTTTATGCTTCTAATGGATGATTAGTGTCCACTGGCAGGCAGTTCTGTGCGTGCTGTTGGTGGTATTTCAGGGCGAGTTGCTGGTGATAGTCGATTCAAAAGTCTTTTGAAGTGATCAGCCCATTGTTTTGTGTTTCTCTCCTCTTTGGTGATCAGATTCCATTGAACATCTTTTATTGGTTTCATCATCTGGGTTGATCTCTTTCCGGATAGAGACCTGGTTGCTTGATATAATATCCTGAGATCTGTTTTGCCTGTGGCTTGTTCTGCTTCAGTTGCCAATGTGTCATAAAATTGTCTTTTGTCTTTCCTAGCACTCTTCACGTCTCTCCTGATTCAGTGCAGTACACATTGAACTCAGCTACTCTTTCTGTCGCCTATTTGTGCATTGAGTCATCTCTCTCACCATCCTACTTTCCTCGATTAGCTTCCAGGTAGGTGTCCGTTGAGGGTCACTCCTTGTCTTGTCTCTTCTTTCTTCCTAGAACAGTTGTACACGTTTCCTTGAATATCATCTTCAGAGAGTTCCATTGTTCTTCTACGCAGGTTTCCTCAGTAATGCCACGTAGTGTCTCCAATTTTGCATTGATATCACTGGTGAAGGCATCCCTTTTTAGTTTACTCCTTCAGTTTCTGAATATTGAACTTGAATTGCGGCCTCTCTCCAGTCGTCCTGAAGGATTTCAGCTTCATTTTGAGGGTTCCTTGAATTAGGTGGTGGTCTGAACCCACATCTGCTCCCCCCTCGGCTTTTTGTCTATCAGGCTGGCTGCCTCTGCCCTTCCTTGAAATTGAGATGAAATCTGTCTGGTTTGTTGTGTGTCCGTTGACAATCTTGACAGGCCACATCCGTTCCATCTGCTTTCACAAGTACCCAGCACTTCTAGACCATATCTTCGTACTTCGTTGGCTGCCTGGGCAGCCCTCCCAGCCTCGTACATTCCACGTCCCCATTCTTATTATTGCTTCCATCGAGAGAAGACATATCGACTGATTGGTTTCCTGAAGTCTCTCACCAGCCAAACAAACAAAATTAGTTAACCAATTCTACAACCCCAAGGGCCTTTTACTTGAAGTCTCATCTACAAGACAGTGGAACACCGTCAGGAGCTACGTTCCGATGGTTTCTAGCGACCAACACAGGTCTTTTCTTCGATTCTGGAGTCTATGTACCCAATAGTAACTGCTTTTAGTCTAACTGCTAACCAAACAACCTTCATGGCATGGTAGAATCTGTAAGAACATAATTTCTAGTCAGTGTAGCTTGTTGGGTCGCTCAGGTATGCAATCCCGCAGCCACTACTGCATCCGGTCGGGATTCATGTAGATATCAGGTGGTTAAGTGCATATATTTCTGTGTCTCACTAAGTATCACGTCGTCATACACGCATCCACAGGTTTGTAAACCAGTTGGTTCGCTTTTTATGTATATCTTTTAAATAAGCAATGATATTATAAGCGATCAATTGTTTCCACAGTTCACTAACTTCAGTGATAAGCAGTGGTAAAACTCCTTCATGTAATATCCGTGTTTTTGTTTTTCATTCCTTTGTGTTTTGAGTGGTGGAACATAGGGAGCCTCAAGCTTTTTGAAGGTTCAACTGTGGTGTAGAATTGCCAGCCACCTCATGCTAGTCCAACCTTTCCGCCTTTTCTGGGTTTACTACTTACTTGCCAGTCGAGGAGTACGTCAGCATTCGGGCATCAAACCCGGATCGTGTAATTGGTTAGTGAGCCTCCTAGAATATACTCGTACTGTTCCTTAGCTTCCTGTACGATCATCACAAAACCCTACAGGTGTCTTTAAAGAGCATTGATTGAGGGCAGAGCTATATCATGGATTGACGGGAGTTGAAACTCACGAGTTCATCCCAAGTAGCTGAATAGTGGAAGACTCTGGGCTCGAGCCCTGTTGGAGCTGTGGGCCCTCATTGTTGAGGAGTCCGAAATTAAGTCGAAACGTCTAGGCGTCAAGTATCCCATGGTTTTCAGAGATCTCTGACTGATTTCGGCTCGTGACGAAATCTACTTAGTAAGAATGGTAGAACGCTCGCGAGACACCTGGCATCGCGATGTCCAGGATGGATTTCTAGCCGACACACTCCATGGTGTTGCCTAGCTTACTAGCAGCCAGTAAGCCTGGAAAAGATGGAAGGTTGTCTGTGAGACTAGAAAATCCTCCCGTAAAATAAAGCAGCACCATCTATACTGTGACTTTAAAATTGAAGATTTGAAGGTGTACTTGAATATCTGTTCTAATATTCCGTAGGCAAAGGGGAATAATTCGGAAAATTAAATAGGGTTATTACTTTCTTTGTTATGTATGTCTGTTTGTCTCTCTGACTAACACCCGACCATCATGAATAGTCCAGCTTATATATATATATATATATCTGGAAATCAAGGATGTTATAAACGAGCAATTGTCCTTTGATTGGACACTAGCCAGTCATTAGTGTGATTCGTCTAGTCCTTTGTTTGGTGCAGACTGAATTCAATCAGTCAAGTTCACAATGTGGCCACCATACCACTTGGTGGGGCTTGCCATCACATTGCACTTTGAATTGTCGATGTCAGATGGTTGGAGGCAATCAATAGGCAGGAAGCCTTGGACATACATAGGCTACGTGCTAGTTGGCACTCACCAGTCAGCAAGGCGTGCATCTACAACCTTAAAGGAACCCATGTGCCACTTGAGATTCTAACCCGCATCACCCACAGTTAACCATAAACTCCTTTTTAGAATATGCCTTTGTCTTTAGAGAGGTGGAACATAGGGAGATTGTAGATATAAAGATTCAATGGCAGTGTGTGGGATTACCAGCCACCTTATACTTGCCCAATCCTTCCCTCTTTTCTGTGATTACTACTGCTATTACTACTATTGACTAGATGAAGTGTTTCTAATAATACATCGGTAGCCGGGACTCGAGCCAAAACCACATACGTGTCTGGTTGTGAGCTTTCTAGAATATTGTGGGTGTTTGCCTCATCTTGTGAAATACAATGCCCCTTTTTATTTGTTTTTCTTATCCTATGTACACTTAAATAATATTTTTATTATATGGTCTATTATTACTTATAGTAATAGTAATATGAATAGTAGTAGTAGAGGCATTGTAATAATAGTCTATTATTATTGTTGTTTTTTCTTTTGTGCCCTTCTTTTTCTTTCTTTTAGTTATGTAAAGCAGCTGAACAATACAAAACCTTATTGATTGAAAAGGAACAATTAGCTGAACAATGTAACGCGTTAAAGATTGAAGTAAGTTGTGTTGTTTTCATTGTTTCCTTCCATCTTTCCTTCTTGTGTGTCTGTTTGTCTCTCCCGCCCCCCACAAACCTACACCCAAACACACATATGCATATACTTTTGTGGGGGGGGGGTTACTTTGCACATAAAAATGTTAAAGTTCAAATTGTCGTATTTCATAAAAGTACATAGAAATAAGGGTAGAGAAAGTGAAAGCAGAAGAAACTCCTTAAAAACATGTAATAACCACAAATTATTCCAGGATTTCATCGTGAATTGACAACTGTCAAAAGACCATTGGAATACCAGCTGGGGGCACTGGATAGCTAGCTGTTTCGTCAGCCTAGTTTGGGACTCTTCGGCGGTACGCATCCACCACCAGGGTTCGGACCAAGAACTTTCTGGTTACAAGGCGAGGTTGTAAGTCACCAAGTCACTGGGACTCGATCCAATAGCCAACCCATGAGTTCCAACTTCTGTCAATTCATGATATGGCACGACCACTAACGAATGTCATCAATTTCCACTAGAACCCAGGTGATTATCTACCTAAATAGGGCCAGTCACTAGTGAGCATCTTATTGATACTCAAGTGTTGGTTTTTATTGGGAATTAGTGACCAGCGGTGTACATCAGGTCGAGTGTGAGGACAAATACTCTCCACCGATGACATTCGCTAGTGGTCGTGCCATATCATGAATTGGAAGAAGTTTGGATTTACGAGCTAGCTGACCATTGGATCGGGTCCCACTAACTTAATGGTCCACGAGCTCGCCTTATAACCAGAAGGTCCTGAGTTGGAACCCTGGTGGTGGGTGCGTACTGATGAAGAGTCCCAAACTAGGCTGATGAAACAGCTGGCTTTCCAGTACTCTAGTGCTGGTTTTCCAATGGTCGGATACAGAAGGCTTGTTCGGTATATGCTCGTCAACTTACACCATCTCTGGCTTAGTAGACGTGATATCCTGCTGTTTGGCTGTCGACCAAAGGACGTGTGTACTGCTCAGCAGTTCGCTCCGTCCTCCCGTATGGCTGGCTGTGAGACCTGGCCATTGTAAGTGGAAGACATGAAAAGGTCAACTAGCTGTCTTTCATCGTAGGTGTCTGCATTCTATCGGCTGTGTGCGTTATGTGGTATAATAGGTTGAGCAATATTCAGGTTAGGCATCGGTCGAGTGCTAGCTGAGTTGGAGGGGAAATCAATCGACGAGGCTGTGAAGTTACGCCGATTAAGAGAGATGGTTAGGACATGTGTTACGTATGCCTAGCCATCTCCTCCCTCGACGGATGATGTTAGGTGACATAGGATAGATCAAGTTGGAAAAGAGCCAGCGGTGTTGGTGGTCAAACGGAAACATGGCTTCACCAGTCAGTGAAATCCACATTAATTAGTTTAAACCAGCCACGTAGGAAGGTGTAGACTTTCTGCGTACGTGGTTGGGGTTCTGGGAATGGTAAGAACCAATGACGATTGGAGATAATTGGTGACATGGCTCAAAACCGTTCTCAATGGCTTGCGCAGATGCATCCACTCCTTGTGATTTATAATACCCAATGAAACTATATTGTTCTTCCATATTACTATTCTTTTTGCTTCACAATTCTCTGTCTACTATCTCTGTTTTGCATTTCTCCTTACTTTCTTCTCTTGCTTTGCGTGCTACATGGAGAGAGTGTGGCGACTGGAACTGTTGCACATCTGTGCAAAGTTCTATGTTGAAATCAGTCAGTATGTCGCGTTCATTCACAATAAATAACCTTATAAAATCTTTGTGGTTTCAGTTGTTGTTCTCTATTTATTTCTTCACACAATTGATTTTCTCTTTGTGACCACAAATTATTTATAATATTGATTATTACTATTATTGTTCTGATTTGACACGATAAGAACTTCTCTTTGTTCAGTTTTCTACCTATACAGTAAGTAAGAAAAGTACAAACAAAGATATCTTTATTGACACAAATCATGTGATTTGATTGCTATGGTAAACAGGAGGTGTGTGATTACAGAGAGTCGCCGTGATTATTGATTTAACCAAGCCTAGTACACCCTTAATGTATCTATGTATTAATAAAGGTATAGAGAATTAGAAATATTATTGTTTTATACGGAACATTTATGTGAATTTAATTGATGGATAGTGAATACCAGTGGAATCCAGGATAAAGTGCATTTCGTCCTATTTTTGGGACTCGTCTGGCAGCTGGATGTACCTACATTTCCCAGTGAGTGAGTGATGATGTTCCCACCACCAAGGCTTGAACCCAATGCCCATAGTTTCAAACGCAAAAACGTTATCAACTAGGCCATTTGGGCCACAAGAGCCACCACCTCTTGTGAAACGGTTCATATTAATTATTTTAAATTGAATTTTAGATTTTCCCGTCGATTAATTGGAAGCCAACATGTTAACGTGAGACAGAGCACTTCGGTTCAATCAATCGACGGGAAAATCTAAAATTCACTTAAATAATTTATGTGAATGGTTTCGGCATTATGGCCCAATTTAGAATAGACTTGAATAAAGCCATTTATTACTGCAGGTACCTTGATGACACGTGTGTAGTCTCTGCAGTAATGTGTGATCACGCATCCACTGTGTTTGAAAAACTCAATGTGACTCATCCTCACATGGCATTTGGAATAAATTATGAACGTGACAGGCAGTCAGTTCCATTTTCTAGATCCTCACTACGTATAATAAAGAAGAAATGATAGGGCAGTCGAAAAATTCATCTTTATAGGAAAAAAAATACTTGGACTGGTCAATACTTGAATTGGTTGGAGGATTTCATCATGAGCGCTGGCATTAGTTAGAGAGCCATTGGAAAACCAACACTAGAGTACTGAACAGCTACCGGTTTCGTCAGCCTAGTTTGGGACTCGTTGGCAGTACGCACCCACACCACGGGGTGGGTTACAAGGTTAGCGAGCTCGTAGATTATTAAGCCACTGGAACCCGATCCAAAGGCCAGCCTACCAGTCCGTGAATTCTAACCTCTGCCAATTCACGACATAGCACGACCACTTCATAATGTCTTCGTCGTCGATGCGTTACTGCCTCACCTTCAACTTGCTGTACCCTACTGGTCACGGCTCCCCGGAAGGCCCTAGGTTCGAACCCCAGTGTTTGCGTACTGATGAAGAGTCCCAAAGTAGGTTGACGAAACAGCTGTCCAGTACTCTCAGCTGGTTTTCCAATGATTCTCTCACTGATGTCAGTCCATAATGAAATCCTCCAACCAATTCATGAGGCATTGGCTTCTACCACAATGGATGAATTGTCAACGTGGTTGTCTGGTAGACTGAAGTTCCTGGGTTTGATCCGCAGTGTGCTGATGGGTGGGTATCCGTTCTTGAAGAATCTCACAGTAGGATGTAGCGGCTGGTTTCTAGTTGTCCTCTAAATGATGTCAGTCTGTGATCTAACTGAGATTGTGTACACTTTATGATTTATTTGGAAGCAATTCACTACCTTCGAGTCGACATCTTCAATTTTGTAGATGAATGTTTCCATGACTTCATATCTGACTTGTGAGGAAGAAACTGTGACCAATTTCTATTCTCTACCTTTTTGTGAGTAACTCCGAATCGATTCATGAGGTGTCAAACAACTTCGCACACCAGTTTCACGATATTTGTATATTTTGTATAGTTTGGTTTGTAAGGGTTAGTTATGGTTTTACGAGTTGATCACGGATTGATATCAGTTAGAGAACCATTAAAAACCAGGGAGTACTGGACAGCTGTTGTTTCGTCCTAGTTTGAGAATCATCGGAAGTACGCACCCACCGCACTGGGGTTCGAATCCAGGACCTTCCGGTTACAAGGCTAGCGAGCTCGTATACCATTCAGCCACTGGAACTCGACTCAATGGCTACTGCATGAATTCTAACTTCCGCCAATTCGTGATTTAGCGCGACCCCAACCATTGTCGTCGGTGGGACATCCATCCTCACATGTGACATCTGGATGAAACTCACTGGTCACAACTTCTCACTAGAACTCCAGGGAACTCCATCCTGTAGTAAGTCACCAGCGAGCATCAGATTAATTTTGTTTAGTTTGGTTCGTAAAAACATAAGTAACCCAAAGAGTCCCAAACTAGTTTGACGAAACGGTTGGCTGTCCAGTACTCCCTGGTTTTCAATGGTTCTCTAACTGATATCAATCCGTGATCAACTCGTAAAAATATTTTTATATGTTATGACCTGTCGAGAAAATGTTTTGAATACTAGTTTGCTAAGGATTTTCTATTTGTAAAAGTGGTTTTCAAGAATTAGTTAGTTTGTAGGTATCCATCACCCTAATGAGGATCAAACCGAAGACCCTTAGTCTACGAGGAAATTCTGCCGTTGTGACGGGATCTCTAATGATTCATGAATTCTATCTCCCACCAGCTGGGATATGAAGACAAGCACTTGCCGATAAGAATAGTTGGCTGTTGAGTTGTATGCCACAAATTGGTGGAAGCCGAAATTCATAAGTGTTATCGTATTATTCTCAAGTGACTTGATCTCGTAACTTGGGAATATCGGGTTCGAACCCTGTAGGGTTTATACGTGCGTATTGTTAAACAGTGCCAAAGTAGGTTGAGGCAGTCATCCAGCACTCCCTGGTGTATCCAATACTTTTCGAATTTGAAAGCAATCAAAATGTCTGAATAAACCAACGCGTGAGAAAAGTATTCGTCTGAGACCCTATCAGCAGTGGAGCGCGGAGTCGGTCGACCATTTAGCCACTGGTGCGGAATCCGATATCACGTGAATTAGAACTTTTGTCAGTTTGTGATTTGTAGCGTCACTTTTAGTCAATGTCTTTTCTTCTCACACCGGAATATTGGTTAGCCTCCGTAGTAATGAGTTCTCATTAGGCACTGTACAGTATTCCCTGGTTTTCAGTGGCTCTCTAACGGATACCGAATACAGAGGGCTAGTTTCACATATGCCGGTTTACGCAGTCTCTGGCGTAGGCGTGATATCCGGCTGGTTGTCGACCAAAGGGCGTGTGTACTGCTCAGCAGTCCGCTCCGTCCTCCTTTATGGCTGTGAGACCTGGCCATTGAGAGCGGAAGACATGAAAAGATTAGCTAGCTGTCTTTGATCCTAGGGGTCTCCTTTCTATCTCCCATGTGAAGTGGTATAATAGGGTGAGCAATATTGAGGTTAGGCATCGGTCGAGTGCTAGGTAGGAGGGAGGGGAAATCAGTCGACGAGACTGTGAAATTACATCGGCTGAGATGGTTAGGGCATGTGTTACGTATGCTTAGCCATCGACTGCCCTCCTCAACGGGCAATGTTAGCTGACATAGGGTCAGGCTGGAAAAGAGCTAGTGGTGGTCAAACCAAAACATGGCTTCACCAGTCAGTGAAAACCACAGCATTTAGTTTAAACCACATATTATTAAGGTGTACGCTTCCTGGTTGGGGTCCTCGGGATGGTAAAAACCAATGGTTGGAAACAATTGGTGACATGGCTCAAAATCGTTCTCAGTGGCGCAGATGCATCCATTCTTTGGGACTTATGATTTCCAGTTAAACTTTTCTTCTTCGTTATTTCTATTCCTTTTGTCTCATATCCCTGTCTACTGTTTCTATTATGCGTTTCTTCTACTTTTTTCCCTTGCTTTGTATGTTATGTGGAGGGAGTGTGGCGACTTGAACTGCAGCACATATGTGCAAAGTTTTTTGTCGAAAACCGACCGACCGACCGATGCCGATCCGTCATCAAACTTGAAACCGATGAAATCCTTACAAAGCCACATTTGAATATTAACGTGATGCTCACTGGTGCCTAAATTCCGGACAAAGTTGCTTAGGATTCTAGTGAGAAATTTTTACTGGTGTGTAGGTAGGATCTACCAAGTTGGGGTTTGAGGACAGCCATACTAGCCGGATCGTGGGGCTGTCTGTATATGGGTGAATTGCCTGGCATCCTAGTTCGACTCCTGGTAGGATAATGAGTGCGCATACCGATGACGAGTCTTGAGCAAGGACGAAACAACTGTCCAGTTTCTTCTAGTGATTTTCAATGATCCTCACACTGATTTCGGTTCTTTATCAAACTGCAGTCTATGCAATCCCTGTAAACCGACATTTGAAGATAATCACTTCAATAGATGATAGTTATTTTTTGGATAGCCTCATCAACCAACATATTGAGCACTAATCTTTTTATCTCTCTATTCAGGTGTTCAATTTACAAGAGGAGAAATCAACTCTACAATCAGAATTAAATCAACTTAAAGTTCAATTGAATTCTCTGGGTTACAACCATCAATTATTGACAACAGAATCATCATTGTCAACAACAACAACGATAACTCCATCACAATCACAATCAACACCTTCCTCCATAGAACCACTTCCGATTACTTTGAATCCTATAGATACAAATAATGTTATTATGAGTCCGACGATAGCTAACGTGCGTATTGGTCATTTACAAAATCAACTATCAAAATTACGTGATGAATTATACAGAACTGAATGCGGTAAGATATTCAATAGTTTTTTTTTTGTTTTTCTTTTTCAAGTGATGACATTTTTTTTTATTTCCTTCACGTTCCCCAGTGGAACATAGGACTTCAAGCTAGTGGTTTGAAGTTTCTGTAGGAGTGTTTATTTTACAGGATGGGGTTGCTAGCCTCATGCCCAACCTTTCCTCTTCACCAGCATTATTTCTGGCTTAGCGAGGTAAATGAGTGCGTCAATGGCCGGGGACCGAACCGCGGACTATGTTCATGGTCGGCGAGCGTCCTAACCGCTATGCCACCGACGCACAAGTGATGACATGCAACGATTTAATTAGTTACACGTTTGATTACAAGTTGATGTCATTTAGAGAACCATTGTAAAACAGCCAGGGAGTATTGGACAAGTGTTTCGTCCTTGTATGTGACTCATCGGAAGTAGGTACCCACTATCAGTCATTGAATCGGGTCCCAGTGGGTGAATGGTCTACGAGCATGCTTTGTAACTGGAAGGTCATGAATTGGAGTACTGGTGTGTGCGTATTGCTTCCCGAAGAGTCCTGAAGTATTTCTTAGTTGGTTTTCTTGTCGTCTACTTTTAAGTAGATGCTAGAACGTGCTTCTCTCCGCCTATTCGAAACTCATTTGTCCTTTCACAAATTTGCCTCAACTCAGACTTTAGAATGATGAATGTGGACGTATTTGAATTCTTTCTGCATCAGACATTTAATTGTCTCTCTTTGATGATCTTGGTTGAGATTGGTTGTTACTTTGCATTGGTATTGATTAGTTTTTTTTTTAAAATTCCTTCACGCTTCCAGTGGAATATAGGGCTTCAAGCTAGAGCCAGTTTTAAGTTTCGGTAGCAGTGGTGTTTATTTTTACAGGATGGGGTTGCTAGCCACCTCATGCCCAACCTTCCCTCTGTGCCAGTTCTATTACCGGCTTGACGAGGTAAAGGAGTAAGTCTGCTGGGTGGGGATCGAACCCTGGGCCATGTGCATAGTTGGCGAGTATCCTAACAGCTGTGCCACCGACGCACACATTGATTAGTTTTAGTGAGTTGAAATTTGACTTTCAATTTATGATCACAGGGTTTCATGGGGGGGGGGGGGCGGTGTTCTTCACAAAAGCGAAAGAGTAAAGAATGCCAACATCTGCTGCTTGCAAGTGATACCGTAGACTTGCAAGTCTGCCTAGTAGGGGGGTTGGAAAACTCTAGTCCCTAACCTACTGTCTGTCCGTCTGTTTTCGACATAGAACTTTGCACCGATGTGCGGCAGTTCAAGTTGCCACACTCCATCTAGCACACAAAGCAAGAGAAGAAAGTAGGAGCAATGCATAATAGAGACAGTAAACAGAGGTGTGGTGAGACAAAGGAATAGTAATAACGAAGAACGATATAGTTTCATTGGAAATCATAAGTCACAAGGAGTGTATGCATTTCCGCCAGCCATCACCGAGAACGATTTTGAGCCATGTCACTGACTGTCTCCGGTCATTGGTGTTTGCCGTCCCGGGGACCCCAACCAGGAAGTCTACACATTCCTACGTGGCTGGCTTAAACTAACTGTTGTAGATTTCATTGACTGGTGAAGCCATGTTTTCGTTTGATCACCACTGGCTAGCTCTTTTCCAGCCTAACCCTAGGTCAGCTAACATTTCGCGTCAAGGAAGGTGATGACTAGGCATACGTAACACATGTCTTAACCATCTCAGTCGATACAGCACTCGACCAATGCCTAACCTCAATATTGCTCACTCTATTATACCACCTAACACACACGGGAGATAGAACGCAGCCATCTATGATCAAAGATAGCTAACCTTTTCATGTCTTCTACTCTCAATGGGCAGGTCTCACAGCCATAAAGGAGGACGGAGCGGACTGATGAGCAGTCCCGAACCTACGGTGACGTATGGATCTATTTTGAACACCGGGAAGCATGGGAAGGTGGCTTCTGACTCTGCTTTACTACCTTATGAATCAGACTCACAGTTAAACCGCCGGCTTCGGTTTAGGTTTCCGAGTAAAAACTAAGATTTTGTGTTTGGTGGCTCTCTTGGTGCCTATGATTTACCAAGTTTGTGCATTTGAGAAATAAATAATGATCGTAGATTCACTTTAGTACCAGTCTGCTAGGAATGCTGTGGGGACACATACTCGCCGAAGACAATGACTAGCGGTTGCGCTAAATCGTGAATTGGCAGAAGTTAGAATTTATGGGCTGGCTGGCCATTGGATTGGGTCCCAGTTGCTTAATGATCTACGAGCTCACTAGCCTTGTCACCCGAAGGTCCTGGGTTCGAACTCCGCAGTGTGGGTGTGTACTGACGAAGAGTCCCAAACTAGGACGAAACTGCTGTCCAGTACTCCCAGCTGGTTATCCAATGGTTCTCTAGCTGATGTCAGCTCATGATGAAATCCTGTAGCCAATCAACCAAATCCCTACAGAAACCAATACTCGAATGCTGTCTTAAGTTTGACGTTTTCACTACTTTCAAAATCTCTACATTTTACTAAGTCAAATTTGTATCCATATTTGTCTACATGCATTGATATAGAAGAATACAACAAGTCATGTCTTTTGATAGCTAGCTAGTTTATATTCTTGAATTCAGTGTCGACAAAGGGCACGCCTACTTTGACCAATATAATCTCTTTTGTCCCTATTCATACCATTTATTTTTTGTCTTCTTTTGCTGTTGGGTTGGAATTTTGTCTGTATAGTATTTTATGACTGACTGGCTGGTTTGAATATAGAACTTTGCACTGATATGCAGCAGTTTGAGTTGTGACTCTCCCTCTATGTAGCTCAAAATGCAAGAGAAGGCAGCAAAGGGAGGTTCAAAAGGGAGATAATAAACAGAAGTGTGAGTGAGGGAAAAAGAATATTAGTATCAAAGAACAATGTAGTTTTATTAGATATTATAAGTCATAAGAAGTGAATTCATCTGCGCCAGACATCACCGAGAACGATGAGTTTGAGCCATATGACCAATCGTCTCCCCATCCTTCATTGGTTCATACCATCCCGAGAACTCCAACCAGGTAGGCAGGAATTCTACACCACCACCCCTACGTGGCTGGCTGTCCGGCTTAAACTATCGTGGTATTCATTGACTGATGAAGCCATGTTTTGTTTTGACCACCAATAGCCAACTGTTTTCCAACCTAATCCATCCTATTTCAGCTCACCTTGCTTGTCGAGGAAGGAGGTCGCTAGGCATGTGTAACACACCACATTTCCTAACCATCTCAATCAGTGTAATTTCACAACCTCATCGACTGACTTGCCCTAGATTGACTAGCACTCGACCGAAGCCTTACCTCAATAATACTCAATATATATTATACCACTTAACACGAGAGAGACAGAAAGCGAACATCTATAGTCGAAGACAGCGCTAACCATTTTTATATCTTCCGCTTTCAATGGTCATGTCTCACAACCATGAAGGAGGTCGATACGAATTGTTGTTGTGCAGTAATGCTCTTGTAGTTGGGTATTTGATATGTGTTTGTGTGTTGACTGTGTATGTGTGTATACTTGCGTTTCTAAATCTCCTGTATTAGGACCGCTGTTAGCGGATGTCTTCATGGCAAGCTTAGAGAACGGCCCACTAAAAGATATATAGATGATACCTTCATTGTCTGTGAGGAAAACTCTTCAACTGCCGAACTTCTTGGAATATTTAATGGTTCTCATCCATCTTTGCTTTTCACGGTCGAAGAAGAGTCGAATTCCTCGTTTCACTTCCTTGACGTTAAGCTAGATAGAAGAGAGGATGGAACGCTGTTAAGGTCGATTTACCGAAAGTCAACATTCACAGGGCAGTAGACTAACTTCAACAGTTGGGTACCTTTAGGGAGAAAGAGAAATCTTATTCATTCCTTATGCTCCAGAATTCGTAAAATCTGCTCTACAGAGACAATCGGCAGTGAACTAGATAACCTTCGATCAAATCTTCTTAACAATGGATATCCTACAAGGTTTATTGAACGTAACATCAAGAAAGAATCCACCCCTAGACAAATCACAGTACCATAGAAAAAACTGTTCATGAGTCTTGCATTCAAAGGTGACACCTTTTCTGAATTGATTAAAAATAGTTTATCTAAATGTATTAAACGCACTTTTCCTGCAGCTGACTTGCAACTAGTTTTTACCAGCCGAAATATGATCAGACAATGCGTCAAGGATAGATTACCACTTATGTCCACATCTATGTCCATTTACTCTTTTACCTGCTCCTATGGAGCTGATTATATTGGACGTTGTAAGCGTAATCTCCAAAAACGTGTAGCTGAACACTATCCGGTTTGGTTAATGAAAGGCGAACGTAGAACTGCGAAGTCGTCTATTTGTGATCACCTGTTAGAGTCTGGTCATTCAGCCCCACGTGATTCATCCTTCAAGGTTATCTACATGGCAAAATTGAATCGATCCAAAAGTTTACGTTTTCTTCACTTATGCATAGCCGAAGCTTTAGCTATACATGAACAGAAACCTAAATTACGTGTTCAAAAACGTTCTGTCAGACCCCTTTCTTTACCTTAGTCATAGTAATGTTCTTTCTAGTTTTTACTTTATTTTACCACTTGAATTCTTTCCACTTCACTTCACATCTTCATTCTTATCGTAATCGTACTCTTATTTTTTAAAATTTTTAGACAACACTTGACATTTTTAAAACATTTTTGATTTCAATTCACTTATAAACAATCTTTAATAATTCTGTAATTTATCCACTTCAACTCTACCCCTTATAACATTTTAATTATCTTTATTCTTATCACATGTATATATGTATATTGACTGAGCAATTATTTAGTGCCACTTAATAGACTTTTCTGTAATATAAATACGACTGTACAGCTTGAAAATGAAGTCGTTGAAAAGAAATTTCTTCGCTGAACAAAAAAAAACAACTGTGTATTCATTCTATCGAAATGTACCATCTAAGAAAGAAATTTTGTAATCTGACGCCTCTTCTGTGGCGAATTTGATTTGTCTTCC